CTATAGTTTCATTTTATTTTCTATAGTTTTCTATAGTTTCATTTTATTTTATATAGTTTTCTATAGTTTATTTTTATTTTATATAGTTCTATATAGTTTTATATAGCATTATATAGTTTCACATTACTTTATATAATTCTGTATAGTTCTGTATAGTTTCATTTTATTTTATATAGTTTTCTATAGTTTATTTTTATTTTATATAGTTCTATATAGTTTTATATAGCATTATATAGTTTCACATTACTTTATATAATTCTGTATAGTTCTGTATAGTTTCATTTCATTTTATATAGTTTTCTATAGTTTCATTTTATTTTATATACTTTTCTACAGTTTTATATAGTTTCATTTTATTTTATGTAGTTTTCTATAGTTTTCTATACTTTCATACAATCCCACACAATATTACACATAACTATATAACTTTACACATCCACAGTCTCACACAATCTCACACAACCTCAAACACGATTCCATACTTCTCCATAATTATACAACCTTACACACATCCAAATACTGTTATTCCATTCCAAATAATTGTACACCGCCGCACGTAATTTCCCATTCGACTAACAAAACGCTTATTATCTCGGCGAGGATTTCCTCGGTCCGCGGATGTCGCGGTAATAAGCTCTGACCTTCGGTTCCGCGTCTTGTGCAGTCGCGGTTGACGTAATTGCTCCAATTCGATTATCCTAGCTCGCTCGACCAGCAACTTTGTGTCCCAATGAGCGACAACCGGTTCCGAAGAATTTTTCAACGCGAACCTGAATCCCGTTCTGTGTGTACAATTATCGAGGCGAGGAAAGAAAATAATTAACGCATTGCTCGACGACCTTATAACGAAGAATTTTTAGTCTTGATTGCTGATTACGATAATTGTGACATTTTAGATGTAACAGAAAGAGAAAGTGAAATTACTAGTTGGAGTTGGAGGATTTGAAATGTTTGTTGTGTTTGTGGTGTTTGGAATCATTGGTTACTTGTGTTAATTATGTGATTGATTGGTTGTGTCAATTATTACTTGTAGAAATTATTGGTTGTTTTGTCAATTATATAATTGGTGGTTGTGTGAATTATTACTTGTTTCGGCAATTATATCATTGATTACTTGTATCAATTATTAATTGTATCAATTATTACCTGTTTTATCAATTATATAATTGATTGGTTGTATCAATTATTACTTGTTTCATCAATTATGTCATTGATTACTTATACCAATTATTACTTATTTTACCAACTACATCATTGATTAATTACTCGAATTATCGTTAAATTAGTTTCAAACAATATCACCTATATCTCGTCAGAAAATATCGAATATTTCTAGTGAAAAACTTTCGAGTGAAAAGGGTTAAAAAATATAAGTTACTAAAGTCGCGGTAGGAATAGTGTTAACCCTTATCACTCCACATGGTTTTATAATCTATCAGCAACTGCAACGAATTTTTATAGTATCCCTAAATTATAAGTAAATTAAATGCTATAACATTTCTTAGATCTTTCATTTTCCTTAGCAGAAAATTTGGATCTATGAAAAATCGAATAATTATAGGGTACTTTCCTTGATTATTAATATTTTATTCCTACTTTAGTTACATTAGTAGAATTTGAATATTTAACTGAAATAACTGATTCTGTTCTTATCTTATTACATTAGTGGTGACTTATTTCTTAAATCCAAGATCATTTCGATAATTCGAAATAGTAGAATTTGAATTTTTAATCAAAATCATTGATCCTGTTCTTATCTTCTTGTTACAGTAGTTTAACAGTGACTACTTTAAAGAATCTTTACTACATCTAATTACAAACTATTGAATAACATTTCTTCAATCTCTCATTTTCCTTAGCACAAAATTTGGATCTACAGAAAATCTAATAATTCTACGTTAGTTCCAAGATTCTAATATCATTCCGGCTACAACATTTGAGACAGAGTTCAAAAGGTTAATTCATATATGTTTCCTCGTTAATTACTTCGAAAGAACATCGTCTGCATCTCATCGGAGAATACTGAATATTGGTATTATTGTAAAGGGTTAAAGAATATAAGTTGCTAAAGTCGCAGTAGGAATAGTGTTAACCCTTATCACTCCATGTTTTCTAATCTATCAGTAACTGCAACGAATTTTTATAGTATCTCTAATGAAAATGAGAAATACAACATTTCTTCCTTTTATTTTCCTTAGCACAAAATTTGGATCTACAAAAAATCTAATAATTCTACGGTAGTTTCAAAATTCTAATATCATTCCTGCTGCAACATTCGAGACAGAGTTCAAAGGGTTAAACTTCACCAGCTTACGCTGACATCGCCGTTATCTCGTTAAACGCGAGAGCTCATTCAGCGGGCAGTATTGACAAACTCGATCGCGCGAGAACGCTTGCAATTGCGGCGGCCGCGATTCCTCGGGGCGATAACGCGAGGAACGAAGGAGCCCGAAGGTCTAAAAATATTACTCTTATCCGAGATTCACGGGAGCTCATCGTTGAATTATCAACACGACGCGCTGGATATTCGCCAACCGCACGCCGCGGAAAAAAGAGTCCGAACGGCGGCCGCTCTTTCTTTTGTTTCCGTTCAATTTCCTCGGGGAAACGATCGCCGGCGCATAACGCGAATCGATCACGCTGGCGCGGAGACAATTACTCGCGAAAATTTCGGCGCGCTTGTTTCATACGCGGAATTCGCGTCTTGCGAGCAGAGAGAGAGGATTCTTGAGGATCGTATCGAAACAGTAGCGTATTATATTAAATAAAGTAGAAGTATAGTTCAAGGTCATCGTCTGCGAAAGCAAAACGGAAGAATCGAGGATTGACCCTTTGCTCTGGAACTAGAATTTTATAATTAGAAACTATAAAATTATATATAGTACTGAACATTGTATAATACGTCAGTATGTGAAATATTGAAATAGAATATTTTCGTTCAATTTGTCAAATAGTTCTGTAATTAGAAAACACTGCCACATAGTTGGAAATTCATTTACTAATTGATCACTTCGGTATTTAAGTAACCAATGATATCATTGATAAAACAAGTAGTAATTGGTATAAGTAATCAATGATACAATTGATATAAAGAAATCAATGATATAATTGACACAAGTAATAAATGATACAATTGTTACAAGAAATCAATGATACAATCGATACAAGTGATCAATGATACAATCGACAAAACAAGTAATAATTGACATAAGCAATCAATCATATAATTGATACAAGTAACCAATCATATAATTGATAAAAACATGTAATAATTGATAAAACAACTAATCAACAATACAATCAACAAACCAAGTAACAACTAACACAAACGATCAATCATACAACCGATACAACTAACCAATCACACCCCTCCAAATTTCTCAATCTCTGTATCACCCACAGAGCCGGTAGGTGTTCAGGTCAGACACGTCTTATCGCGTTTTTTCTCGTCACGACGGACGCTCGTCGAGTCGCTCCTAACCGGGGCCTGTAATTAGAACAGAAATATCGTGCAGCTGTTCCTCGTGGCTCGTTTCACGCGACAAACGTCGCATGCTCCTCGCGTAATTACAATTGACTCGCCACGCGCTTTACTCCAATACTTCTCCCTTTCTCGCGAGAGAAGAAAAGAAAAAAGAAAAAAGCGAATTAGGCCGCAACGATTTTAGCGTAATTGCGGCCGGCTTTCGCGCGTTCGATCGGTACCGTTCCGGTTAAAAATATCTCGAATCGATGA